TGTATAGTACTGCAATAGATTTAGATATTTTTGTTCTTACAGAATTGATGTGATTTTTCCATGTTAGCTGTTCATCAATGATTACACCCAAAAATTTCATCTCATTAACTCTACAAATCTCAACACCCTCAAATTAGAAAGGCTCAAGTGAATAAAGAGAGTGTTGTGGCAGTATTTTTTTTATATAGAGCGAGCGTATGATATGATGTGGAGGGAAGGATTATTAATCAAAATTAGAAGAATGGGTATAAATAGTTGTATGTTTAGATGGATTAAGACTTTTAGAAGGAAGACAAATACAAGTGAAAATAGGGAAGGATTTCAAAAATGTTCAATCTGGTCTTCTGGACATTAAAAAAAAAAAAGCAAAAAAATGTAGATATGTTTTGTCTCTCATCCGAAAGACTTCCTCAGTCTGAGGTGCTGTATTCAGCTCAGTCTTATAAATAGCACCCTCTCGCAGTGGATCAACCAGTTTGCTGCTGACAACCAAAACCAGCTGCTCACATGCTCAAGAAGGACCATCAGCCTAACAATGGATCATTAACACACTGATGGCTGTTTACTATTCACAGGGGGTTGAGTGATACTAGCAATAACAGCATTGTAAGAGGGGGACAGTTGAACCCGGAGGCCTCCACCCCTGTTTAATGATGGATGATTTATTTTCACAAAGATGGCCTCCTTTACTCCTCTCTCAAACCATCGTTCCTCTCTATCCAGGATGTGCACATCTTCATCCCTGAAAGAGTGACCGCTGGCCTGGAGATGAGTGTAGACCGCAGAGTCCTGGCCTGATGATGTTGATCTTCTGTGCTGGGCCATCCTTTTGGCCAGTGGCTGTTTTGTTTCCCCGATGTAAGACTGATCACAGCCCTCCTGACACTGAACAGCATACACAACATTACTCTGTTTGTGCCGGGGGACTGGATCTTTGGGATGAACCAGTCTTTAATGTATTTTGGGGTTTAAAAGCCACTGGGACGTTGTGTTTAGAAAATAAACGTCTCAGTTTCTCTGATACTCCCTCAACATATGGAATGACCACTGGTCTGGGTCTGGGTTCCTCCTTTTCACCTGTTGGCTGACTGGAGTCCTGTTTGGGTTTCTTCTCTGCTTTCAGGAAGGCCCAGTTAGGATATCCACATTGCTCTAGAGCCTGTCTTGTGTGGGATTTCTCCTTCTGCCTGGCTCCTGAGTTAGTGGGGATGCTGTCTG